AAAGTTTCCTCAAACATGTTTTAAACTAGCCACAAAAATTATCATTCTTAATACTGCCATGATTTTGCTTACTTGAGTAAAATTCCACCTCTACATGATTATCAAGTGCTATCAGTGAGTATTCCTATTATAACATATGGGTGAAGTCAAATTAGGTTCTTCTGTTTTAACAAAAATAAATTCACAAATAGATTTTAAAGTCTATTTTACACTTTTACTATCAAGTTGTCTATTTGTGAAAATGTTATAATCCCACTTAGCTCAAATTCAGAGCTAACAAAATTGTTTGTAACTTAATTTTTTTCTAGCTAAAAAAAAAAGGGGGGGAACAACTATGTTTCAATGAATAGGCATTTTTGAACTCCCCTTAAAATGACTGTATCAAAATTAGTAATTTATTAGTGAAGGGAAGGAACCTTTGGCACATTGTTTACAGTCTGATGGGAGTGCCAAAAATATTTTTGTGAGAACCATGTTTACCAATAATTTAAGTCTTTTGACTAAACCATTAAGAAATGCATACAAGTAAGTTACTATTGATAGAATTTATGTTTCTTGATTTATATATACACAGAAGAAAAAAAACTTAACTTCTCTAGAATTGTTTCCACATGAACAATTATTGTTAAATACTTGAGTTATTTATGAGAGGGGTTAAATGATTTCCCTTTTGAACCAAATCAAAAGCCGTTTTAAATTTGCAATTTACAAGGCAATTTCCCATTATGTGAAATGTGATAAAAACTGATTTTATTAACTGAAATAGCTTTTTTGGTATTAAATATTTCCCACAGGCTGCCGTGGTGAGACCTCAATAATCCCTTTTCTCCTCTATGTTAAGACACCAAACACTCCCTCACCCCCTGCCCTGCAGCTCTACTTTTCATCATCTTCCTTCATCATTTCTTCTCCAAAATCCTACCACTTCTTTACTACTCTAAGTTTAAGTGAAGACCCTATGAGAACAAGGAGGCAAAACCTGACTGAACAAGGCAAGAGTAATTTGGCAGCATCCACAATCTAAATGGCACAGATATACCATGTGCACATATGGCAGAGTTAACTTCTTAGGCTACCTAGATAATGTGCTTTGATATAGATATGAGTTGTACAAAAGTTAAGTAACATAGATTTAAATATGTTAAAAATGGTCTTGCAAACCAAATCAGTCATTTAAAAAAAATTCAGTAAAGTTAGACTTCAACAAACACTTCCACAATTTGTCAGTTTGTAGTGTCTGAACGTTAGCATTATCTTAACTCAGCTTTTAAAGCTGTGTTACCTATTATGCCAGTGAAACTTATTTATTGGTTAGAACTAGTATTATCCTAACAGAATTTTAATTTGCGCTAGGGTTATCATCTTGGGCATGAAGGTTTTTACAAGATATGTATATGGTACATACAGCAATAGGAACAAGTACATTAAAATGATTGTGTTTAAAGAATAGCACCCTTCAGTAAGTTTTCATTTTAAACTTACTAATATTATTCCAAGAACTGGCAGTGTTATAACAGAAAACTCCAGTATTATAATACAGAGAGTAAAAAGAGACAAATAAGATATATTCTCTGACACCCAAACTAACAGGGATCTTTTCTCTAAGTTTTCTATTTTCCCCAGCCATAGGTGCTTAATGGTGATTAAACCATATTGTACTTCTTTTTCTTATCAAAACTAATTTTAATATCTACTTCTAAGAAGATGTTGAATATAACATGCCAAATCAAATTACAGTAGTGATTATATAATTACCAGCAGAATTTGACATATTAAAATTCTAACACAACATTCAGAAAATCCTGACACACCAGGAATGAATATCTGAGCTAACACTGAACTTTGAACGCTTAGTGGTTGACAGAAGGTCTTATAGAATAATTTAAAGTTGGAGTATTTAATAATTTGTTATATGATAATGAATAAGAAGGACTAACAATAATGAAATAAAAATAGCTGCATATATCTGGCTAAATATGTAACACATGTAAAAATATGACAACGTACTTGTCCCTTCTACTTCTCTCTCAAAAACAAAACCACCCAACACACACAAAACAACAAAAAACAGGTATTAATGCACTGGAAAGAACACCAAATGAGATTACTGGGGAGGATGTCAAAAGACAAGGGAAACTGGGTACACAAATGAAGATCTTGCCCATAAAGAATTTCAAAGGCCTCCAACGCAGGAAATGACATTGACTACAGTTAAATTAATAGTGTCTGAGATCCATCTTCCCTAGTTAAAATTAGGGGTGGGGAATAAAGATTAAAAAAAAGATAAGCTCAAAATAAAAAAATTAATTTAGTAGCCGTTTCATAACTAATTAGTGTTTGGAAATTCAGAATCCAAAAATGTTGGTCACCCAACTCAGTGCAATATGATATTCAATACATACTACTTAATTATACTGAAGAAATTAAGAATTAAGGAAATAGCACAATTGTGACCACGATTCTGAAAGACATTAAGGCCAAACAACATAAATGGCCCTACATCTTTTCTAAAACTAGAATCTTCTAGAGATTTGACCAACTAGTAAGAGTTCAACACATAACTGAAAACAATAAGAAATCCTTAATGACAACAGGATAAAAAGAGATGGTTAACAGGATGAGAAATAACTTATCAGGAACTACTGCTGGGAGATAAAAAACAGAGGTCAAAGTTTCAAATTGCTGGAGAACATGTTAAATTCTGCTCCTCATCATCTTCTCTCACAAAACCAAATTAAAAAAAAAACTTTCAATTGATCAAAACAAAGAGATTATTATCTGTTCACAAAAATAACTTCAGAAATGTGATAACTGACATAAATCCACAAATTCATTAACAACTACAAAAAATTATGAACTTTGGGACAGACGTTTAGAATGTTGTATTTTAAAACCATAAACAGAAGTATTGAGAACAGTCTGAACAAAGAGCAAAAATTCCCCTTTAAAGTGAATTCCAGAACTAGGAGTCAGGGAACAAAGAAAAGGTTTTGTTAAATAAAACTATTTTCAGAACTAAAATTATTACTACCATCCTCAGGTTAGCCAAAACAAGTCCACTTATCAGTCAACATAATACTTGGAAATAGTATTTGGTAGAGCATGAGTTTCTTAATTTTCACTGACCCCTTTGACAGTCTGATGAAGCCTACAGATTCTTTCTCAGAATAATGTTTTTGATATATAAAATACATAGGATTTACAAGGGAATCAATTATACTGAAATAAAGATTTAATTTTTTTCCACCAAAGTTCACAGACCTTCTGAAATCTATCAGTGGACACCTTTGGCATCCATGGGCCCCAGATTAACAGACTTTCTAATTATGTGTAGTAGGAAATTTTTGAAGAAGGAAGTGTTGCTAACAGAAAGCAAATGTAAAAAACCATTTTTTAAAATCCACAGGAGAGATATCTGTGTATATTTTTTTTCAGACATATATATATATATATATTTTTTTTTTTTCCCCCAGATATATATATATATGAAAATAAAGAGCTTAGTTACTGGTCAGCAAATTGTCACTCTGAACTACTGACAACGTACACTTGTCCAGCAACGACAGGTCTGAAAACACTTTACTTCAATCCATTGTTCTTTCTGATATGCTAGCATGTTTCTGCTCATTTAAAGACTATGAAATCTTTAGATTCTCTACATAGCCAATGACAGTATCAAAGCAAATGATATCACCAGTAAAAATTATTCCTATCCTTGTACTGACCACTAGAGGCCAATTCTTCCCCCAAAAATGAAGAATCTATTTTTGCTTTGTTCTCAAATATTTTCTGGAGGGCACTGGCAGCAATGGCTGAAGTAGTTACCTGCAGGTACATAGACTTAAAAATTCATAAAGATAACCTCCAATAACTTGGGGAGATAACTTTATCATGTCATGTAAGACCCTTAAAGATACACAGAATTAGCAACACTGTCAAAAGTAATGGAACTGATCCTGCAAGAAGAAAGAGAAAACTACTGCCTTCTGGAAGGTTCATTATTCTAAGTATGCTGGAAAAGTTAATTTACCAAGAGGAAACTTAGTGGCCTGTCAGATCAAGACCAATATTGGCCATTATGTAACTGTAACTGGAGTGCTGAGGTGAATATACCATATACTCACACCATTTTTCTATAAGGCTAATAATAACAGTGTACTAGGTCACAGAAGAAGGGCAGTGTCTTTTAACAATGGTCAGAAGCTACACATACATATAAATAAATAAATAATTCTATTTTGCAGTGTTGTAGGAAAATGATCCTTAATATTATTTTCTTCAATTCCTCATTGTGATTGCCCATTATTTTTTTTTTCAGTAAGAATATCAATTACTTTTAGGTTAACAGATAATAAGAGTCAAATTACTGATTTTTCTTATGCAATCTAAGAAATAAATTGTTAATATGAAGTTGTGATTGTTCTCTCATTATTCCACACTCCAGTTTGTTTCTTTAAAAAAAAAATTGGAAAAAAATCAATGGAAATGAAAGTGAAATTTCAGATTTTGTTTTTAGATCATGAGGTTGGAAGGGACCTGAGAAATCATCTAGTCCAACTCCCACATTTTACAAATAAACTAAATTCTGGTTAAAGGACTTGTCCGTATCACACAGGCAGTATGTGGCAGAGCCTGATTCAAACTTGTGATTCCCAAGTTCAGCAGTCTTCCTACTCTCTCATTACCTCTTTCAAAACATTTCTCAAACTTGTTTACATTACATAAAGTTCCGTTAACAATTATGATTTTACACTGGGTGTCCCAAAAGTCTTAGTGCAGTCTTAGAAGCTATTTTTTGAAGCCTCAAACTACACTACAGACTTTTGAAACGCCTAATATAAATGAGGTAAAGGTTTGACCTGCCTACTTCACTTGGTGCCATATGGCATTTTAAAGAGGTGTTAATTTCTTAGTTATCTATGTTAGCTTAGTGTAAAAAATGTGACTATTAATGTTAAGGATAAGAGAAAACACAAAAAAGTATATCACCTAAGGGCTGATGAAACTGAATAGTAAAAGAAAATTTAATGGGAGTAGTAAAGAATTAGGAATTAAATGTATTTTTAAATATGTCCCATTACAAACCATACTCTACAAGACTGAAGTAAAAAACTTTTTAAAATTAACTGTGGCTTACATGGATTTGATCCAAATTTCAAAATGACTGTCCAAATACTGTTTTGTGGTTTGTTTGGTTTTAGCGCATTCAAAGTAATTATAATGTATTACATAGGCTATGGTATTACACAGTATTTCACTAGAACTGCCTTATCAAATGCATTTAAATTTTGTTTAGCTAACAAAACACACTGCTATTTCTCATTTAATACAAAAGGATCCTTCGTTCAATGGCTTTGCGGCAAATAGGGCATTCACTCATTCGATCTCCACAAAGTTGACATGTTCCATGGCCACAGAGGAATATCATATTCTTCAGACGATCCAAACACACAGGACACATTGTCTGTGGAAGAATGTGGTAACATTAAGTAGTATAATTATTGAGGAAACATAAAATTGCAACTTTTCACAAATGTGATATCACTAGTTTTCCCATACGATTTTTCTTGAAAATTTGTTATTGTAGCCTTTTCTAAACATGACTAGTAATTTAATTATAGGTCTTTTTTTCTTCCCTATAATGTAGAAAATACTTACTGATGTTCCACAATTTTAATTTTTAGAAAAAAATATCCATGTGTTTTAACATTAAGGTAAAACAGAAGCTGCCAAGATGAGAAATGTCATAAAGAATGTAAAAAATGGCTCAATATGGTCATTTCCTTGATCTTGCCATTACCCAAAATTACCACAAACCTTCAAGAATTCTGAAATCTCCTTATCTAAGCATAATCTATTACCTCTCCCACTGATTTCCTTTATCTAACCCTATTCTTAATCTATACTGTGGCCTCCAATCCCCTGCCTCCTCAAATTCTCTCCCAGGCCATCTCCTTTACACTAGCCACTCTCTCCTCTTTTCCCCATCTTGACCCTTGAACAGATTCAACTCTACAATAGTTTCATCTCTTGACTTTTTAGGCCCCTTATTTCACCAGTCACACCCTGCCAAGTCTCAGCCTTGGATCACTCCCACTGTCTCACCTTTGCTCCTAAAACATGCCGTGAAATGAAGATAAAGAAAAGTACGCGATCATTCTGACTAGGTCCACTATAAATTTATATTATACAACCTCAACTCGGCCCTCATTATGGCTAGGTGATGTACTACACCTGCTTTATCAACTCATAATAACACTCTTCACAGTGGCTCTTCCAAACCTTTCTATCCTCCTCAAACTTCCCATGGCTCCTTCTCCTCCCACCCTCTCAGCTAAGAACTAGCTTCATATTTTACAGTTAAAATTGAGGACATTCAACACGAGCTCCCTCTTCTTCTCCTATCACTCAGAAGCCTTATACCATTACTTCTTCCTTTACCCCTAACTCACATGATTGGGTAACCTTAATCCGTCCAAGGCTATGCCCTCTATCTGCCCAAGTGATCCCATTCCATCCCTTCTCCTCCAACAGACTGCCCCCTCTGTCATCGCCATTCTATTATTTTCAATCTTTCCCTGTACACTGGTTCATTCCCTACTGTCTATTAACATACCCATGTCTCCTCCATCCCAAAAAAAAACACTCACTTGGATCCTTCCACTCTTGTTAACTATTGACCTGTATCTCTTCTCTTCTGTCTACAAGACATGCCTCCACTTTCTCTCTTCTCAACCCCCTACATATAGCATCTGACCTTATCATTGAACCAAAATGGCTCTCTCCAAAGTTACCAATGATTTCTTAGTTGACACATTCAACAGCCTTTACGCAATCCTCACTCTCTTTTCAACTTTTTGCCGCCTCCAATACTGTTGATCATATTCTCCTCCTAGATACTCTTCTTTTTAAGTTTTCAAGCAACTCCTCTCTCTTGGTTCTCATATCTATCTGACCACTCCTTCTCAGTCTTCTTTGCTGGATCCTTTAGTGTCCCTAAGGGTTCGAACCCTGGGCCCTCTTCTTTGGTGAAGTACATCAGCTCCCATGGATGTAATTATCATCTCTATGCTAATGATTCTCAAATTTACAGGTCCTGCACCAATATCTCTACTGACTTTCAATCTCGTATCTCCAATTGCCTTTCAGACATCTCAAAGTGGATGATGACCAGTCGACAGCTTAAATTAAGTACGTCCAAAACTGAGCTTATCTTTTCCCCTAAACCCTCCCTACATCCCACCTTATTATTGTGGAGGACAACACTATCCTTCCAGTCCTTCAAGCTCTCAAACTAGTAGTCATTCTGGATTCATCACTATCTCTTGTCCTCCATATCTAGGGTTATTATGAGAATCAAATGAGATAATTTAGAATGTAATTAAAGTTATATAAATACCAGCAACTGTTATGTCCCCTGGACCCCCAATTCTATAAACAAACTTCCCTTTATATCTCTTCCTCTCCCTTTTCCTTCTATGTTTTAAGACTCACGAAAACTTAACTTCAGAAGGCTGGCAAACCTCTCCCAATATAATGGGTCAGCAAGTGGGCCTTTGTCTTCACTACCACTACTAGACCCTCCAGATGCTACCATCACCAGCAACCTCTTCTACTTTGAAGATCAGAACTTTTACCTCCATCACCCTATTTAAATCATTAAGTACAGTCACCTACCAAGCATCAGATTATTTCTCCTCCCTTTTCCAAGGAACTCAGAACCTGTCTCATAATCTTTTCCTCTTCAACTCCAACTTCAAAATTTGGAAACTTACACACACACACACACACACACACACACACACAGAGTTCCCTCAAATATTCTGAGGGTGTTTTGTCAATCTCTTCAACTCTCATGATCTACTTCTTCATTCTGCACAGACTACACACAGATTTTGTGCCCTGATTTTATCATCAAGAGCAAGTATTTATATAGAGGTGTAAGTGCTTGTACAACCTCTATGACCCAGAACTCTGATCACAACATGCTATACTTCCATCTCTCCTCATGTCTATTCACAGAATCCTGAAATTTCAAAGCTGGAAGGAACTTTAGTGGCCATCTACTACAACCCGTATCTGGAAAAGATCTCACAACCTTTGTCTGGAGATTTCCGATAAGGAAAAACCTACAACCTCCCCAAGTAAGCCCATTCCATTCTTGAATAGCTTTAATTATCAGTAAGTTTTGCCTTATATAAATGCCTAAATTTGCTCAATGTGCACAAATCTACCATCTAGGGGCAAACAGAAGATTAACCCCTCTTCCAACTGACACACTTTCAGTTTATCATGTCCTCTAACCTTTCATCTCTCAAGATAAACATTCCTACTTCACAGGATCACAGTTGAGAGCTGGAATGTATCACAGGGAACACGAATTCAGGCATGGAAGACATCAGATGTTATCAAATCCAATATTCTTACTTTACAGATGAGGAAACTGAAGTACTAAGATTGAATGACTTGCCCAATGTCACATAATGAGATGAGATTTGAACTCAGGTCTTCCTATCTCCAAATATAGAATAAGGAGACCAAACTCCAAATACAGTACTGTACTATACCATGCTGCCACTCTGGCTCCTTCAACCAATTTTCATATGGCATAAATCTGAGGCTTTTTTTTTGGGCCATCTTGTTGCTCTTTTCTGGTCATTCTTTAACTTTTCATAGTACCCTACAACAAGACTATTGTACTTGCTTATTTCTGGAAGATGCACTTCTCATAAGGTAGCCCAAAATTTCATCAGCTTTTTTAGGCTTTGATATAAGACTGCTGACTTGCGCCGAGATTACAAGAACATTAAATTTCCAGATCTGTTTCATACAAAATCATGTCTGTGACTAAACAATGGAAACATAGCTATTAAGTGTCAGGGGAGAGCTTTTACTAAAGGTTTCCCCTGGTTAGAATTAAAAATTTACAAATCCATTATGTTACGAATCTATTTTAAAAAGTTTTGAAACCATTTTAAATGTTTTTATATCTCCCAAATAAAAGGAACTTCAAAATAAAATGATACAAAATAACTTTCATGAAAAAACTACTGTTTTCTTCAAAAATTAGCTTCTCTGTTGTGCACGTGCATTTCTTACATGAAAGAAAAAGATTCTGAAAATTCAGCACCAATCTTAAATTTGTTTCAGAATCTATTTAGTATCCTGTCAAAATCAAGAACTTACATGGCCACAATTACATCAAGAAAATGGATCTAATTACATTAATTTTAACTCTTTAGTTAAGGAATTATAATTGATTGTATATAATTAATATATGACTCTTATCTGGCATATGAAAATATGCACTACTCTACATCACCATTTATTATGGGACTGCTTTATATGCATAGATAGAAAAGAAATGGTTCTTGCAGCAAGATAACAAGTTTTTATCCAATGTAATAATTCCTATCAACCAGATTTAGATTAGAGGACAAATGTGAAGCATGAAATAGAGCTTTAATTTCAGGAAGCAAATAGATGACCTCTTCTCCTAAAAGTCAGTCATAAAAATCAGTGTTTTAACATAAAGATATTTTTACCTGCTCTTTGATATCTTGCAACTGTTGCTGTAACTTCTGTACATCAGCATTGACATTGGTGTTGTCTTTGTCCTTCTGTAAAACTGGAATGTTTCCACTTGCTGCAATATAGACAGAGTATTTTTAAATCCCCTCACCCTAACTGGCTATAGCATTTTACATGAATTCTTTATACTGAAAAAAAATTTTTTTAAATTGAAATGGCCTCTATTATTAGGCTGGGCTTGCAACTGGGGTTAAGTTACTTGCAGAGTCACACAACTAGTGAGTGTTATGTGTTTGAGGTCGGATTTGAACCCAGGTCCTCCTGACTCCAGAGTCGGTGCTCTATCCACTGAGCCACCTAGCTGCCCCCCTATTAGGCTGGTTTTTAAAACAAGACTCTTTTAAACAATGGGCATATTTGGCACAGCAACATAAAAAGCAGATTGCTTCATTTGTAGTGCCTGACTGGAGTAAGTCTCAACAAAGTTTTTAAATTGGAGTCAACACTTTCCTTGCTTCCCCCTGTCAGACTCCTTCATGCTTGCTTTCTCTATACTGTGCTAGCCTAAGAGTAACTAATAAAAACTATGGGTCTGAAGACTTTGGGAACAGATTGAGAGGCAATGGAAGATAATTCTACCCCAAAGGTCAGTTTCCTTTTAAAAAAAAAAAAGATAAGTTTTTATTGACATTTTCTGTTTTTTATATCATAATAGTTGTTTCAAGTGTTCCTTTCCCCTCCCTCTACCAGAGAACCATCCCACACAAGAAAACCTATTTTTCAGAGATGAAAAAAAAACCCCCAGCACAACTAATCAAACCACCGAAAAAGTTCAAAGACCTGTGCAATATGTAACACCTGTGGATCCAACCACCATGAAGGAGTGGGTTGGGGATGTCCTCTCATATCTCTTCAATCTAGTCATGCTTAATCTTTACAATTTTGTTATATTTACTCTTTCGGTATGTCATTGTTCTTTCCATTTACATTGTTGTAGTAACTGTGTATACTGCTTTCTTGGTTCTGCTTACTTCATTCTATATCAATTCATATAGATCTTTCCATGCTTCTCTATACTCATCATAATAATTTCTTACAGCACAGTCATATCCCATTACATTAATATACCGTAATTTTGTTAATCATTCTCTAACTGATGGGCATCCACTTTGTTTCCAATTCTTAGCTATCATAAAAAAGTTGCTGTAAACATTGTGGTGTATATGGGGACTTTCTTCTTACTGATGGCTTCCTTGGGGTACAAACCCAGTAATGAACTCCCTGGTTCAAAGGGAATAGACATTTTCCTAGTTTCCTTTTATGTAAAAAAGGCTTTTGTTCAGCTAAGGAGGTAGTTTTTACAGGAATCTTAACTTTTGTTAATAACAGCGTAAGATGGAAAAAAATGAAAAAGTGCTAAAAAGTATCAAATAGTATCATATAAAAGGGAAAAAAGGTATCTGATCTCATTACTAGTCCCATTCTGCCATATTCTCTCTCTCTATACTTGAAGACACATTTACAGTTGTATTTGACATGAAAAGTCCTGAACAAATACCCACAATTCAATATTCAGTATTTGCATTAATGCTTCCTTCTACCATATCGTAAGAAATAACCGTACACTACCAGTTTATAGTGGAGTCCCAGATACAAAACAAAACACATGATTCCCTTTTTATACAAGAGGTATGTTTTGGGAAGAAGTTATACATGTATCCAATTATGTCAAATTGTATCATTTTCTGGCCCACATTTTTAATTTATTGAAACAAAGATATAGCTATAATCTTTTAAAATTATCCTTTTTTTTTCTATTTTGGAGGAAAGTCTTTTAAATGTTTTCAGTTTTGTAATCACCATACAAATGGCGTTAAAATAACTTTTTTTCCTGACTACTAATTTATAACAATAGACTAACAAGCATATTAATCTTTTTATGTGTGAGAAAATAGTTTATTATTAAGAATTAGGAGACAAAGAAGAAAATAGAGCGTAACCTCTTTGAAGACAAGAACTTTCATTTTTGTCTTTTATTCCTAAAAGCAGGAGATTAATAAATACTTACTGAATTGAACTGAAATGGTTCCAACTAAGAAAAAAATTTTAAGAAAATAAACTTACCAATATCATCAGTGGCATCTTCTGAGCCTTTGCCACCACAACACATAATGAAAGGTACTCTCCGTTCTACTACTGCCCGACATTGCACACATTTCTTCATCAGGTTAGCACAGTCTGGCAAGGTAGATACATTATTTAGACAAGAGACACATATTAATCCCTTTCCTCTGCAGTTGACTGTTCTTCTATTTAATCTACATAACTTTTAAGGTAAGCCCCACTAAACTACCCTGATATGCTACCAGGAAGGTTAACAATGGTATCCACTGAACATGTTATGAACCTTAGAACAAAAATCAAACCTTTCCTGTATTTTTAGGACACCAGAATCAGTGGTCCATAATTTAAGGATTAACTATATTCCCTAGTATTTTTGGTAAACAATTTTTTTTTCTACAAATAAGTAACATGATGTCCATTTCAGGAGTTTAATGTAATAAAGAAAAGGGAGGCTTTCTTTCAAAATGCAAATTAATACCAGAATGATCCTGGTACTGCCCATCTCTTACCAATACACTGCACTGTCTTGGCCTGGTGACTGGTTGCTTGTAAGCCCACTGTAGTTTTCTCTAAAATTCTTTTCTGATGCAAAATACTGTACTCCAAAATTTCTGCATTATGTTGAACCATTCTCTTCCTGCTGTTTCTATCAAAATGAGGCATTAGAGTAAAAATAAAAATAGCTACTGTATTGAAAAATAATTTCTATGCAAAGAGTAGCATGAAAGTACTACAGTAATAAACATTCTTAACAACTAGAGCTGTTCAAAAATGGAATGGGCTGCCCCCAGCGTGGGGCTAAGGAGCACAGGGAAATAGTGGGTTTCCAACCACTGAACTCTTTTCCAAAAGCAAAAGTTATATGATCACTTGTTAGGAATATTATAGATGGGCTTCACAATCTGAAAAAGAGATGAACTACGTGACCACTGAGATTTTTTCCCCATTCAGACTCTAATGCCATTTTTCCACTACTCAAATATAAGGCAACTCATGGCTTGTAAACTAAGTCTGAATAAAACTCTTTTTCTTCCCAGAGAAACACCATAGGTAGGTACTACAAGTACAATTAAATAAGAAGCTTTACATATTATTTATAATTCTATTTAATTCATGGCTACAAAGATCTAAAATTACAGGTGAAGTGAAAGAGTATTTTTTTCAGTATTCAAATATTGATGCAAAACATGTATCTTAAAAAAGAAACAGTAAAAGCTGCTGAAATGGCAGTACTGGAGAAAAGGTAAAATATCACAGAATTTACAGCCAACAAACTGAGGAAACAGGCTCATGGCTAACATTTTACTCTATGTAGATCATTCCATGGCCTTCTAATTCATTCCTTTGCTTGGAGAAGAGTCTGCTTAAAAGCTTCCTATCACACATCAATATTTTAAAAGGAAAATACACTGAATGATTTTGCAGATAAACAGGATAAACTCTAATTTGACATTCCCTGATCCTAAAGGATTCTGACCAGAGGTACAACGAAGGTATACTCCCAAAATAAAGTGTAACCCAATGAAAATGAGAAAGAGTGAGTAAATCATCTGTCCATGTAGAACATGCTACACAGGAGTTGAATGTGTAAAGAATTCTAGCTTGGAATTGTACAGTTTTAGGGAAAATATTTTTCAAGTTTAAAAGGTTGTCAATTATCGTGCTATACAGGATATTCCCAAAATAAACCTTATTTCTGTAACCTCAAGCTGGGCTTTCCTTTTAAGAAAGATCTTCCAAAAGTTTAACTTCACAAAAATGAGCTCACTATCCTCTAAATCTAATTCAGGATGTCATTTTAGCTTATGAAACCTTAACTGGATGTCCTTACTTGACAAAGATCATTTCCCTTCCTATTTGTGGTTTTGACAGCAGAGACTAGTTACAGTTCTGAATTCTCAGACTAGTCCCACGAAATAGGAGGCTAACAGTGAAGGCATGTCAGCACAGTTAGAGAGCTCAACTCTAGCTTTGTCTTTATTAACAAATATATTTCATAATGACAAGCCAAGATCAGGCCATTTTACTACTCTAATTACTATCTTATTTAGACAGTCTGTAAGTGCTGCTTACTAAATTATTTTAGGAGTATAACTTACTGTACTTTTACCCTGAAGCTATTCAAGTGAGAAGAATGGTTTTTAAAGCCTTTGAAAAACTTTCAATGAAAAGAACAAAAAAGTAGAGAGAAGAACATGGTATGCAGCACAAAAACTGGACCTAAAAAGGGAGGAAATGCCAGGATTAGAGGGAGTGGAAAAAAAAGAAATATATGTAGCTAACGTGATCTAATTTTTGCCTGTATCTCCAAAGAAACTAATTTTATTGTGACATCAGTTGGCACAAACAGTAATGGAAAGTAGTACAGAGGTGTAATAGCTGGTAAAGGCTCAAAAGCAGAAACATAAAGGTTGGTGTGCATTACAAGCAGATATGCTAACTTGGTAAAAAAAAATTTAAAGTGTGCTTTTAAGTTGTTCAAAGTTTAAAAAGGCAGTTCTCAAATTAATAACTACCCCCAAAATTATTCAACTTCTTTAACTGGCACACATACATTGCTGGTGAGGCTGTCAACTGATTTAATCTTTTTTTTTTAAACTTACTTAATTAGCAAGTGTTACAAAACTAGGAAAAATCTGTAACCCAGTGATTCTACTATTAGGGGTACATCCTAGGGATATGATCCACACAGAACAAAACACAGAACAGGTGAGAAAAGGGTGTTTTGTTTTGTTTTGTTTTTACAAAAATATTCATATCAACATAATTTACAATAACAAAAAACTGAGAGCCATCTATATGTCCAATGTTTGTGGAATGGTTAACTGTGGAATACAACTTGAAAGATTATAGTATAAGAAATGACAAATGAAAATAACACAAAAAAATACAGGAAGACTTTATGAAAGGATGTGAAGAAAGCAAAACCAAAACAACATGCACACTGCTTACATAAATAATAACAGAAGGCAAAAATTAAAAAAAGAAAAACAGAAACAGGATAATTGTTACCTTATTAAAAAGCTTATATGTATTTCTGTATGTGTATACAAATATGGATACACATACCTAAATTTTCTTAAAAAAAAAAACACTACACACAAATATAATACTATATAAATAAAAATACCATCAAAAACAACTAAACTCATAATAAATATGAGGACCAATATGGAATCTGAGGTCAGAAGATAACATATTCCAAATGTTAGAGATACAATTATTACATCAATTAGTTAAGCTTCCCTGCTTTTCTTTGTTACAAGGGAGATTTGAGGCAAGGGCAAAGGGTGAGGAAAAAAGGTACACGAAGAAATCATTTTGGTGTAGAAAATAAAGACATTAATTGTAAATAACAGAAACAAAGTGCACTTTAAATGAATTGTTTGTGTGTATTTTTTTTCAGAACTAAACTTTGCTGAGTGATAAAGGATCACTTATTCACGATGTCCCATGAGTCTTAGTGCAGTTTAAGCTATTAAGCTGCACTAAGACTTTTGGGACATCCTGTAGACTACACAGACATCTAAAGATGATACTGTGCAAGGGCAAGACAATAAGTTCTATTTAGAGCTCCGTGGAGGATGTAGGAATCAGCTAACATAAGAACACAAGAAAAACAGACATACTAAATAGGGAAGCAAATGCTAAGCAGTGAAGTACCCTCCAAATTAGGGTTTTTAGTGAGGTAATATCTGGGGACAAAAAAGGAGCTAGACTTCCTTTTTTATTCTATTCTTACAAAACACAATAATGTAGGTTAAGTATTACCTAGAAATACTTACTCTCACAAGCACACATGTGGCCACAGGGCTGAAAAAGAACAGCAGCTTTCTTGTCAGAGCACACCACACATTCTTCAATCTGCAGGAGGAGGCCATGGCATTAGCACAGATATCCAGTCAATACATCAGTAATGCAATAAGCATGCACTCAGCACCTTCTGTGTCCAGACATAGGACGTTGGGGATAGACATATGTGAGAATCCCTGCCCTCCAGGGGCTCACATCCCACTTAACCTAAACCATATACAAACCTAGGATTCTAACATTTATTTCTACGCAAATTTATTTCTCCTAAATGTAAAAAAATTCCACATAGGACAGGGATTTCAAAATCCACAAATGAAGAAGCTATCAGAGTCCAAAATGGGGTGTGACAATCACTTCTCTATGCCTCAGACCCACCATCTATAGCTGATATCAGCACCCCGAATTCTGTACTCACATTTCCCACCCATCTTCTCCCCCACCCCCCGCACTGCTGCTCTCACTTTATTTCTCTCAAAAAAAGACTGGATATTTTTTTTTTAAGTAATTTTCCTTTTTTTTTTCCTTTTGCTTTTAGGCAATTGGGGTTAAGTGTCAAGTGTTTGGTCTGAGGCTGGATTTGAACTCAGGTCCTCCTGACTTCAGGGTTGGTGATCTATCCACTGTGCCACCTAGCTGCCCCCTTAAAGTAATTTTTCAGGGAAGTTAAGGAAAAATAAAATTCATATAAAGGGACAGCAACAGATAAGTTTACAGAGCACTTTTCCTATCCTAACAGATGAGTTCAATCCCAGATTGTCTGGGCCAGCATTTTACTTGGTTCCTTTTTCTTGATTCAGCTTATATGGGGAATCCCTGCCAAGTGTAATGGCTAAACACTTGCAACTGGGGTCAGAAAGACCTAAGTTCAAATCCTGCCTCAGATACTTTCTAGTTGTATGACCCTAGGCAAGTCAATTACATCTCAGTTTCCTCAGCTATAAAATGCTACCCATTTCCCCAAGACTGATGACAAGATCAAATGAGAGAGAAATGTAAGTGAAGTGCTGTCCAAAAATTCAAACACTATAAATGGGAATAATAATTATCATCATCTTTATTATTATTATTATTATTATTAATTATTGACTACTCTGAAACGTAGTGGCCATCATCTCCTGGACAGTCTCTCTTCTCCCAAAGTCGTCTTTGCAGGATCATCATCCATGTTCTGCTTCCTATGTGTGGGTGAGATCCAAGACTCTATCCTAGGCTTTCTTCTTTCTTCACTCTCTTTAGGTGAACTTATCAGTTACCATGGATTCAACTATTATCCTATGCAAATAACCCTCAAATCTATATCTCTCTTCTGAGCATCAAGCCCATAACACCAAGTGGATATCCTAAAGACATCTCAAACGTATCACATCTTCTCTTTTACCCTAAATCCAAACACTTCCTCCTAATTTCCCTATTTAATTGAAGGTACCATTACACTCCTAGTGACCCTCAAAGTCACACTCATTCTTCATTCTCCCTCACATGTCAAATCAGTTAAGTTTTGGGGGGTTTTGGGTGTTCGTTTTTTTATTCTACATCCATAACTCTCTCAATCTAACTTGTTTTCTCTATTCACATAGCCACTACCCTAGAACACCTCTCCCTAGATTATTACAATATCCCCTCTAATCGGTCTCCCTCCAGTCTTTCCCCTATCCAATCCATCCTGCACATAACTACCAAATGTATATTCTTAAATAAAGCACAAATGTGACTTCATCATCCCTCTACTTAACAAGCCTCTGTGGCTCCTTACAGCCTTATATACAAAACAGAATTTTTTTTGAGAACCTAGAAAACGGAGAGGAATTTCTCTCACCCCCTTGCCTTTTCTTATAAGAGGGAAACCTGTCTACAGCTCAAACAGAGTTATTTGGTTATTGCAGATTTAAAAAAAAAAAAAAGCAAAACAACACCATCATTCACATACAGGTTACTGCAAGTTTCTCCTTTCAGAAAAACAAGTATGAATCAGTCAGAAGGCCTGGATCCAACTTCCAGATCCAACACAAGAATGACCTTGAGTAAGCCAAACTCTGAGCATCAGTATACTCACATATAAAATGTGGATGATAACATGGGTTGTGGTGAGAAAACTTGTCTGTGTCCCTGCCCCGCTCCCCAAATCATCTGAGAACCTTGCCTCATAATTTACTGAAAAAAAAGTAAAGTCATTCACTAAGAACTCCCTCTTCTCTCCTCCTCATCTCACATCACCAAGATGCTTTCTGCCATTCTCTCTCACTTCACAGCTGTCTCACCTGATGAGGTAGCCCTTCACCTTATCAAGGCAAACCCATCTACATGCACAAAGGTTACCATTCCATCCTTTCTTCTCCAGTACATTCCTCCCCTTAGCAACCCTACTCTCACTTCTCTTTAGTCTCTCCCTGACAACTGGTTGCTTCTGTACTGCCTACAAACACCGCCGTGTCTCTTCCATCTTCAAAAAGCCTTCATTTGACCTGGCCATCCCCACTAGCTTTTTATCTCTTCTGCCTTCTACGGATAAAACCAAGAAGGCTGTCTTCCATTGATGCCTCTACTTCCTTTCTTCTCATACTCTTTTTTAACTTATATCTACAAACTGGTTTCTAACTTCATCAATCAACTGAAACTGCTCAATCCAAAGTTATCAATGCTCTTAATAGCCAAATCTAATATTGCCTTTCCTCAATCCTCATTCTTTTTGACCTCTGTCAGCCTTTGACATTGTTAATCATCTTCTTCTCCTTGATACTCTCTTCTTTCTAGATTTTCTTGGCAATCCCTTTTGTTCTTGATACTGTCTTCTCTCCAGGTTTCTGTGATACTCTCCTGGTTCTCCTCCTACATGTCTGACAACTCCTTCTCAGACTCATTTGTTGGATATTCATTCAGGTCACAACCATGGGTGTCTTCCAAGGCTCTTCTTGGCTCTTCTACCTCTATACTATTTCTCTTGGTGATCTCACCAGCTCCCAAGGGACTCAATCATAATTTCTGTGCTTGTTGTTGTTGTTCAGTCGTAGTCAACTCTTTGTGACCCCATTCCAGGTCCTTCCATCCTCCACTTCTCCTTTTGTCTTCAATACTTCCAACATCAGGGTCTCTTCCAATAAGTCCCATCTCCTCATTATGTGTCTGAAGTATTTAAGCTTAATACTTAATATTCACTATTCTAGTGAACAGCCTGAATTAATTTCTTGAAGTACTGACCTACTTGATCTCCTTGCTGTCCAAGGGAATCTCAAAAGTCTTCTGCAGCACCAAAATTCAAAAGTGCCAATTCTGTGGCTCTCACAGCCATACAATGCTATCGGAGAAATCATAGCTTTGACTATATGTACCTTTGTAGCCAAGGTGATATCTCTCCTTTTTTAGCATACTGTCCAGATTTGCCACAATATTCCTCTCAAGGAGCAAGCATCTTTTAATTTCATGGTGCAGTTACTGTCTGCAGTGGTCTTTGAGCCCAAGAATATAAAATCTGACACTGCTTCCATGCTTCCCACCCACCCCCCATCCCATTTGCCAGGAAGTTCTTAGTTTTTTTTAAACTCCAAGCCAATTTTTATACTCTCTTCTTCTTTCATCTTCATCAAAAGGCGTCTTAAATTCTTTTTCACTTTCTGCAATCAGAGTGGTATCATTTGTATTTTATACTCCAAGGCCAAACTTGCCTGTTACTCCAATTATCTTTTGTTTGTTTTGGGTTTTTTTGTCCATTAATTTATTTATTTTTAGTTTTCAATATTCACTTCCACAAGATTTTCAGTTCCTCCAATTATCTTTTTATTTCCTACTTCAGCATGCCAATCCCCTATGATGAATGTGACATCTTTTTTGGGTGTTATTTCTAGACAATGTTGTAGGTCTTCATAGAACTGATCAACTTTAGCTTCTCTGTCATCACTAGTTGGAGTGCAGACTTGTATTACTATGATGCTGAATGGTCTGACTTCAATTTGAACAGATATCAATCTGTCATTTTTGAGATTATACCCCAGTACTGCTTTTCTCATACTTTCATTGACTATGTGGGCTACTCCATTTCTTCTAAGGGATGCTTGCCCACAGCAGTATATGTAATGATCACTGAATTAAATTCACCCATTCCTGTCCATTGACCCAAGATGTCAATGTTTAATATTTCTATCTCCTGCTTGACCATATCCAGTTTACCTTGGTTCATGGATCTTACATTCCAGGTTTCTACACAATACTGATCTTTACAGCATCAGACTTTCCTTTTGTCACCAGATGCATCCACAGAGGAGCTTCCTTTCAGCTTTGGCCCTGTGGCTTCATTATTCCTAGACCTACCTGCAGTTGTCCTGTACTCTTCTCCAGCAGCATACTGGACACCTTCCAACCTGAGGGGTTCACCTTCCAATGTCATCTCATTAATCATTTTAATATTGTCCATGGGGTTTTCTTGGCAAAGATACTGGAGGGGTTTGCCATTTCCTTCTCCAATGGATCACCTTTTGTCAGAACTCTCCACTATGACCTGTCCATCTTGGGTAACCCTGTATGGCATAGTTTCATGGAGCTATGCAAGCCCCTCCACCATGACATAGCACTGATCCAAGAGTAGTATCTCTATGCAAATGACTTTTTTAATCTACATATCCAGTCCTAACCCCTAAATTCACGTCTCCAATTGCCTATTGGATATCTTAAACTAAATGTTATTGGTTTCCTTTGCTGTTCCTCACAGAAGAAACTCTTATGTTTCAAATCAAAATATTTTCACTGGCCCTCCCCTATGCCTAGATTCTCTTCTTCTTCTTCTTCACCTAGATCTCCTGGCTCCCTACAAGTCCTCCCCAGAATCCCATCTTTTAAACAAAATAGATACTCCTTAATACTAGTGTCTCACCCATTAGATTGTCAGCTCCTTAAGAACAAGGACCATCTTTTTACCTTTCTCTGTAGGCCCAGCACTTAACACAATGCCTGGCACATAGTAGCTGTTTAACAAATGCTTTTTACCTTGACCTTTAAATTATGAAAATTATATAAAACAAAAAGTTGACTATTCAAACATCTATACCTAAAGTAGAACCATACTCTTTTTCAGAAATACTAAATTTTTTCTCTTTGTCAAATATGTAAGATGCACAAAGCCCTATATATGCATAAACACAGAACAGGAATGCAATATATATTCCTATTCCATTCCTATTCTTGAGCTCTGTTCCACTGAGGAGTTATTTGACAGACACTGTGGTAACAGACAATATAATTTATCATTAAAATTGCCTTAAAGAGCTAAAAAAGGGTAAAAGAAACAAAGGATAATACATGTAAGTTACCTTTGTTCTAGACTGAACTTGTTCTTTGCAGATGAGGCATTTCTTGACACGTGGAGAACACAGAGAACATGTAGCAATATGTCCACATGGGCCAAAAAGAGTATCTCTCTTCATATCTGAACATACCATACACTCCTCCAAAGTTTCTGAATCATTGCTGATCATAGAAGGACTCCGTGAACCCACCTGACCACTAAAAAGAAAAAACATATTCAATCAGGCTTAGTTCATAATTATAGTTAATTATTCTTTGAACAGCTTCTAAAAAAATGTCAACCAATGTATCTCTAAGTATTAAAATAAAATAGTAAGAACCATCTAGGAGTGAAACATAACTTTAGTTATATAAGGGAAAACAAGAAATATTTACTATTTAGAATCTTCATATTTTATATTTTCTCCATTTGTTACTATGGAATAATTTTCTTAAAAGTAAAGCTGCAAATTAGAAAAATTCTTTAAAAAATAAAACTTAGGTCATGCTAGAAAAGACTGCTTAAATAATTTAAGAGTTAAGTAGTCATTATTATCAGTCAAAGAGATCAAGATCATGAAAAAATGTTCACTAAACACAACTACAACATAAATGAAAAGATTTCTTAAAGAGGAAGCCAAACTCTTGAGTATTAAAAAAATTGTAATTATCCAAAAGAATAAATGATAAAATATATCCTCCAACTTTTCTCAGCAGAGAGGCAGAGTCTATAAGAGCAGCTTATTACATGTGGAGTCAGACAGGGTCACTATAATTTGCAAAGGACAGGGGAAGAATCATAGCACAAAATAGCAGTGATGTTAAAAACCAAAGGTGTCAGCAAAACATTTATTTTTAAAAACTATCTTCATTAATATTTTATCTTTTATAGAGCCAGCAGAGGGAGCACAGATACCTAAAAATCTAACTCCCATATTTCTTTATATAGAGTGAAGCTAGCCAATAACATTTATTAAATGATGAATACTGTAGAACTTTAGGACACAGTGGTGGATTACAGCTATAAAGGAAGTAAAATCCTGCCACCCAGAAATACACAATTCATATAGTAACACTGCAAAGAAAAGGAACTTTGAAAGATTTAAGAACTCTGAAAAATGAGATAAACATCTGTTCACTCCAGAGATGATGGCATACGGTAACCACCTCCTCTTGACAATATGGGTAACAGAGTCAAGGAGCAGCAGGGAATAAGTTTCTATACATGACAATTGTGTATGTTTGTTTTACTTCACTATGTTTATTTGCATAGGATTGTATTTTTCTTTATTGAGGAGAACAGAGGAGCTAGTGGTAATACTGGCACCTCAAAAAGAAAAGATATGGGCAATGAAGTGCCCCACTACATTAATTAATTGATATGGGTATCTTAGAAAAGTACTATGGGTGGAAAATTAGCTGGAATTAAACAGGAGGAAATAGTGATAGATTCAATTCTGGAAGTGTGCAGTACTTTCAAATATCTCAAAATTTGAATCACTGCAAAAGCCCATCTTTCCAATACCAATAATTACCTAAAATATCAGAAGAATTTAAATTAGTATATCCCTAAGAGTAACAGGAAAATGTACACCAACATTCCGTGGAATATCATATCAGAAGAATTTAAATTACAATAATTTAGTCAGTGAGTCAATTTATTAAGCACCTACTATGTGCTATGTACTGTGCTAAGCACAGGAGATATAAAGAAAGGCAAAAGACAGTCCCTGTCCTCAAGTAGTTCACAATCTAACATGGAAGACAACATGTAGACAACTACGTACAAATAAGCTACATACAGGATAAGAAGGAAGTAATAAGCTGAGCAAAGGTATGAGAATTAAGAGATATTTGGATAGGGTGTGGAGGGGCATTGGGAAAGGTTTCCTACAGAATACAGAATTTTAACTGAGACTTGAAGTAATCCAGTGAAGCCAGGAGGTAGAGTTGAAGAGAGAAAATATTCTAGGCATGAGGGACAACCACTGGGGGAAAACAAAAAAGCAGGGGTAGTAATCATGATCTTAGACAAAGTTAAAGATAAAATAGATTTAATTAATAGATATAAACAGGGAAACTATACTATGTGTCACAAATATTATTTTAGACCCTTTAAAATAACTGCAGACAGTATAAAATACCTGGGAGTATACCTCCCAAAACAAACCCAGGAACTACACGAATATAATTAGAAAATTTTTTTTATATAAATAAAGTCAAATTTACATAACTGGAGAAATACTAATCGTTCATGGGTAGGCAAAGCCAATATAACAAAAACGACAATTTAAAATTAATCTATTTACTCAATGCCATCCCAATTAAATTACCAAGATTTTGTTTTACTTAGAAAAAATAATAACAAAATGTCAAGAATAACAAATAAACTAATAAAAAAAATATAAAGGGAAGATTTAGCAGTACCAGATCTTTAGCTATGTTATATGGCAGTAATTATCAAAACTATCCAGTACTAGCTAAGAAATAGAAAGGTAGATCAGTGGAACAGAGTAGACAATAATACACAGCAGTAAATGATTACAGTAACTTGTGTTTGACAAATGTAAAGATTTAAGTTTTTGGGATAAGAATTCATTATTGAGTAAAAATTGCTGGGAAAGCTGGAAAGCGGTTTGGCAGAAATTGGGCACACAGCCATGTCTTAAACCCATTTACCAAGACAAGGTCAAAATGGACATATGACCCAGATATAAAGGGAAATATCACAAGAAAATTAGAAGAAAATTTACCTATCAGACTTAGAGATAGAACAATTTATGAATAAACAAGAGAAAGAGAGCATTATGGAGTATAAAATGGATGATAATTTTGATTACACCAAAATTTTTGTACAGATAAAACCAATGTAGCCAAGATCAGAAGGAAAGCAGAAACTGGGGAAAAATTTTTATAGTCTTTCAAATTAAAGGTCTCATTTCTCAATATAAAGAACTTTGTCAAATTTATAAGAAAACAAGTTATTTCCCAATTGATAAATGACCACAGTATATGAACAGGCAGTTTTTGATGAAGAAATCAAAACCACATATAGTCATATAAAAATGACTTAAATCATTATTGATGAGAGAAATGCAAATTAAAACAACTAAGACATCATCTCACATTTTAACTGGATTGGCCAAAATGACAGATGCCCTTCAATTGGGGAATGGCTAAACAAGTTGTGTTACATGAGTAATGAAATACTACTGTGATACAAGAAATGATGAGGGGCAGCTAGCTGGCACAGTGGATAGAGCACCGGCCCTGAATTCAGGAAGACCCAAGTTCAAATCCAGCCTCAGACACATAACACTTACTAGCTTTGTGACCCTGGGCAAGTCACTTAACCCCATTGCCTAACCAAAAAGGAAAAAAAAAAAAGAAAGAAATGATGAGCTGGTTGATTTTAGAAAAACATATAAAGACCTGCATGAAATAATAAAATGTGAAATAAGCAGCACCAAGAGAATGCTATATGAAGTAACAGAAATATTGTCCTAAGAGCAACTTTGAATGACTAATTCATCTTGAGTATCAAAAATACTCAAACCAAATACAAAGGCATAGTTCCTACAACAATGGAGTAAGATACTATCCACCTCCAGAGAAAGAAATGATGAACAGAAGTATGTATAGTATGGTTTTACATACATGTATATTTCTGTTTAACTGTAGCCTTTTCTAGGGTGGGGCAGGAGGGAAGGAGGAAAAACAAAGTACACAGCAGAGAACAAAAGAAAACTTAAAAGGAAGCCCAGAAAAGCAGGGTAGCTTTGAAAACAATGCGCTACAGTATTTATTACATAGGGTTTTTTTAAAAAGTGAACAATCCAAAATGGAAATTCATGGTTATATTGTGTTGTGCACAGGTAAATTTTTTTTTGTCTTTTTGCATTTAAGTTTAAAATGAATAAAAATTTTTAAAAAAAAGTGAGAGGAGAGAAAACGGAGGCATCAATGGAAGAGAGCCTTCTCAATGAGTTCTGAAACAGCAGCCAGGAGAGAAATGAGACAACAGTTAGTGGGGATGGATGGATGAAGAGAGTGTTCTAGAATAGGCAAGAATTGCAGGCAGTAGGAAAGCAGTCAGGAGTCAGGAAGAGACTGAAGATAAGTGGATAGTGGGAATGACAGAGAGAGCAATCTGCTAGAGGAGATGAGATAGAATGGGATCCCTTGTGCTTTAGGATCACCTCTTCATGTGAGACAGGACTGGAGGAGAGAATGGTACAAGACATCTGGGTGATATGAGAAAAAGAAGCAAATGGCCCAATTGTTTTTTTCAGGAAAATATGAGGCAAGGTTCTCAGCTAAGTGGTTGGGGTAAGAGGCAGCCATGGAAAGTTTGAGGAGGGATGAAAAGGTTTACAAGAATCATTGTGGTGAATGAGATAGTGAGTTAATTACAGTGGTATAAAAGAATTGCCTAGCAGCACTGAGGACCCAGATTAGGTTATATAAAATAAATTTGGGTAGAAGCAGTTAGGATAATTGCATGATTTTTTTTCTACTTTTGTTCAGTTGCACACATATAGGAATGAAGAAAGTAGATGATGGGAAAGATGCCAGGCTAAGGATTCGTAGGGCACAATCAGTAATAATATAGTGGACAACAGACTAAAGAGAAGAAGACAGTATAGAGTTGAACTGGTTCACCAAGGAGTCAAGATGGGGAAAGGAAGAGAGTACAGCTACTTCAGGGATGAAACCTTGGGAAAGAAGTAAGCAGTCATGGGATTGAAGGTCATGATGTAGTTAAAGAGAAAAGTTTGGTAGAGACAGAAGGAGAGGTATAATGTCAACAGACTATGATCAGATAAGGGGATTCCAGAATTCATGAACATGGAAGTGAGGCATTTGTGAGTGATAGAAAGATCAAGGACATTCCTATCTTTGTGTGTAGCTGAGGCAGGGTAGAAGAATAGGTCATATGAAAAGAGTAAGTTGAAGTACTGGGAGGTTACAATATTTGAGGAAGTATGACTATGCATTATATGACTTAAGTCAAAGAGAGATCTAGAATTTGACTTTGAAAAAAGATATAAACCATAAAACTAACAGCTCATGTACAATGATCCACAGTGAACAAGGACTGACTAGATTGCTGACACTGGGTACTGAAATGAAGTTATGAGAACAAAAGTAGTTATTGAGAGCTATGGTAACTTGAAGTGGAAACTAAAATTTTAAAGACAAAATCAAAATGGGGCAGTGGTCAAGGGAACAGGTGAGTTTGGCAAATGTTTCTCAGGAATGGGCAATACCTGAACATGCTTAACTAGAGAGGGAAGGGAGTCTTATGACTTATAAATTGATGATGAAGTAAAGGCAGGAGATATAAGCACTTTCATGATATTTATTAGCATTCAAATAGTAGATGAAAGATTGGAGTTCCATAATATGTGTAAGTTTGGGTTCTGTTCAGTGATAAAGATAATTCCTACTGATGTGCACATGCTGACATTAATATCAACAGTTAAAGGCATTACACACATCTAACTAGTCTTTATGCCTAAGGTAGTGCAGAAATAAATTTGTAGGCTACTGAAATTTCTCCTAGATGCATTAATTTTAAAGATTTCAGTAAACAAGGTTGTCCAATACAAGACTTTTAGTAAATATTTAACAGCATTTGTTTTGTCTCTTATTTCACTTGCAAGAAGCCTCAGTGACTTTAAAACTTAGCAGTGAAATAAGGTTTTTATAGCCTAGAAACCTCATTCTCATAAAATACATCATATTCAACGGATCAAAACTCAATCATACCTGACTTTTTCTTTGTGACACTTGGCCAGTGCTTTGCAGAGGCTAGGATCAGGACACAGATCAAGTGGAGACTGACCCTTTTTATTTCGAATGCTAAGATCAGCTCCATTGGCTGCTAAGAAGCAGGCAATAGATGCTGCACTCTTCTTCTCTGCCCCTTGTGTACCAAGTCCCATTATTAACTGAAAGAAAATAAGAATAGTGGTCATCCCTGAGAGAATACAGTTTCACATCTTAACACAAAAGATGGCAAATTTAAAGTAGTTGTAAATGCTTCCTCATCCTACGTGTTTAATTTCTACATAGTTAAAATTATTTCTATTAGTCAAGGAGAAAACATGCTTTACAGCTATATTCCCTGTATAATTTGCCTTAAAGGTGGAAAAAAAATTAAAATTGTCAAAATATTATGCATTTACCATCAATTGGTTAGTATTTATTAAAGGCTTGATGAGCTTTGTTTACAAGAAACATGTGATCTACCTGCTGAGGGCAAATTAAAACATTATAAACAGAACATATAAGCTCTGAGACAACACGGGACAAGGATGTAATCAAGCAAATGTTTCCTGGAGAAGATGAGTTATAGGGAAATAATAAGGTTCAAATGAACAGAGGTGGGAACAAGTTGAATGCAGGGGGGTCAGGGAGGTAGAGAGCAAAGTAATTAATCTGATACTTGTCAGAAACAATAAGAAATAAGGCTAGCAAATTTTGAACCTTTCATATATTTAAGTTTTTGTGTTGTACACATTAGAATCTAGCTTTTAAATGAAAAATTGCAAAATTTCAAAATACAACAGTATTCTTTCAGTTAACATCTTTGACAAAATTATCTAGTACTGCAATAATGATAGGTAGGCTTGACATCTGAATTATTTCTTTCCAACTATTTTAAATAAATTACTTTCATTCCATCACTGCTCAAGGGGAAAAAGGCAATTACTAAAAGAGTTTGCCAACAGTTAACTGAAAAACTTGACATGCTTCCCAACAAAAATGAAGTACATACATCTATTTCCTTAAAATCAATGTTTTCAATCATCATTTTCATTTAATTACCATGGAGAGATGAAAATTCTGCTGGTTAAGGAAAAAAAAGATCGCTACTCCTTTTAAATTTTATGCTGATACAAAATAAAATAACATTTTCAAAAAGCTAGCATTCTTATTTCATTTCATTAAGGTATAAAATGAAATCTTCCAGAAGACTTAACAGAAAGATTTTCCATCCTCTTTGGATAAAAATATGGACCAATTGTAAACTTTCAAAGGATAAAGGGCTTATATTAAACACTAACTTTTTAAAAAAAAAAAAACAAACCCTAAGACCTCCTTATATTGCTCAGAAAAGAAAGCAATGTAAGAAATCTAAAAGAAAAGTTATCTATTTTGCATTTTTCTTACATGATAAAGTAGTACTTATTGTCAATGAAATTCCATGCAAATATGAGACAGAAATGAGACTGGAGCTTTAAAAACTGAGTGGTGGAAGAGACAGGTAAATCTAGACACAGAATAACTCAAGCAATCCAATCTAAAAAGAACTGCAGAGTAGAATTAGCAAATGCTAAAATTAGGGCTGTGGACAAGTTGCAGGAACCATCAATCTGTATCCTAGCCCCAGTTTCTAGCAGAAAACTCTGGCTCTCATTTCATCCATTAAGTGATATCGCTGGAATTTTGTAATATGTAAAGCCAAAGGTAACACTGCCTTAGTACTATGGAGCATATGTCAAGTTTTACTTTCTACTGGAATTACTTTTGCTAAATATGCAAGTAGTTCTCTTTTGACTGCATGAGAACTATAACCACACAATAACTCTTTTAACTATAATGACACTTAAACTATGAATTCTCAACAATTGAAAGAAGTAGAACCAAAAAAGTTGTAGTTTGGAGACTTGCAGTTTGCTGCTAACATGATATCAAATTCTAAAGTAAATGCAAGATCTTTCAAGTGATGTGTGCAGAGAGACTCTAAAAATCTCTGATATCTCATACCCTTTTTGTTTCTTAAACAATTTCATCAATTTCTCTATGAATATTATATTAGTACTTCAAAGACCCATGATTTAATTGCTAGGAGTACCATCTAAATCTATGGTTTTGTCAGGCCTTCAAAATATTCATCAGGTTTTCTTTTTTATTCTTAAGGTTAATTGTTGATACAGAGTACAACTCCCATGTTAACTTCATACAAAGTCTTCTGTAGCCAATGGGGAAACTCAGCTAAGCCTTTAGATAACATGTACATACATTTAATACATCTAACATATGTTAGATAACATATCTTTAGATAACGTGTACAGATAGCCACAACTCAGGCTCTAATAACCTTTGAGACAAAGGGTTTCTTCCATCTCACACCGAGGCATCAAACTACAATTTTAGCACTGATTATGAAAACAAATGAATGTTAAACAGTAACACATGATGACCAGTGATATCTAGGAACACTGCCAAGTACGACACACTAGCACTGAAACGTTTATCAAAACATAAAAAGTTCTGAATCTTTTGAGTTGGAAAGGACCTCCAAAGCATCCAATCCATGCCTGAACAACAATCTCTCCTATAAATGCCCCACACATTGTTTTCCAGCCTTTTCTGAAATGCCTCCGAGAAAGGGGAACCCATACTCTCCCAAGACAGTCCATTCTACCTTTGGATAGCTCTAACTATCAGAAATTTTTTTCTTCAAGTAAGACCATGTCTGCCTTTTTACAACTCCACCACAACTGCTTCTGATTTCCATTTTGGAGGTCAGAAAGAATAAGTCTAATTCTTCTTTCATGTAACAGATCCATAATATTAAAAAGGATTACATACTCACTCTATCACAGATTTAGAACTGGGAGGGAACCAACCCCCTCATTTTATGGATGAGGAAACAGAGATCAGAGAAGTAATGTGATTTTCCTGAGATCACAAGATTATAAGGGGCAAAGACAGAATTAGAACTCAGACCATCTGACTCTAATCCAGCAAGCTTTCTGATACATTACTAATTGGTATCACATACCACTCTGACCCTGCAAGTCTTCTACTTTTAAGACTAAACACCCTTCAGTTTCTTCAGCCAATTCTTACATAATATGGTCTACAGCCATCTTTGTTCTGGAAACCAAGCCTCTTTCAACCTAGTATCACACTGTCCTGAAATGTTGAAAGTGTGCACACTAGTAGAAAAAAACAGAATTTCTTAAGATGAATCATAGCTTTAAATGTATAATGCCACTTGCAGACTGCTAGCAAACAACAGAAGCAGATAAAATAGCCTTGAAATAAGCAATAACAAATTGGCAAACTCTTAGTGAGCCAAATTAGGCAACAGAAAGTTTAAGATGTAATGTCACAACAAAAGCTGCAAATCAAAATTTTCCCATCTATACAATGCAAAAGAAATTTAAGTGATCATGATACCCTTCATTATATAACCACAACAAAACGTTAATGGTTTCAAGGGTGCCTTAAAAACAACAATCAATTAGCTTTGAGAATTCAAGAGGAAACATAAGCCTGATGAACATTTTGAAAGTTCAACAAAATCATAATACACATTAGAGCTGGAAGGGATCCCAGAGGCTATATTGTCCAACTCCCTCATTTTACAGATGAGAAAACTGAGACCCAGGGAAATTAAGTGGCTCGTCCAAAATCACACAGATGTAATTCTAGTATAATCAAGCTCTGAACTCAAGTCCTCTGACTTTAGGGTCAATACTCTTTCCAGGATGAGGCTGCCAACAACCAAAACATAATAACCATCAAAAGGAGAAACAATATTAATACAGGCAAAATCTACTTTGCTATTTGATTATTTTAATATCAGTATTTCAGAGACTAGCTGTGACTTGTAACAAACTTTTCTAAAATAATGTGAATATAAGAATAAAATCAGAGACTTCACAATCATGAATTAGCCCTATAATTACTAAAACTTTATGTACTTTCACAAAGTCAGTTGACAAAGGATAGAACAGTATTAGAATTTTATTTTCAAGAATTGTTACTGAAATAATTTAGTAACAAATGTACCTTCAAAACTTTATACAAATTATATATGAGAAATTACTTACTGTGTTTTTGGATGGTTCCCAGGCTGTATCTACTTTCCCTACATCCTGCATATCTTGGAGCTGGCGGAGTTGTGATAAAGTATGATGTCTCAGAGCTTCATGCAATGGAGTATCCCCATCTTTATCCTGAATATCCAGTTTAGCACCTGCACGAACCAAAAGCTAAAAGAAAAAATCTCATTTAGGGAACATGACTTACTAAAGTTGATACAGAATCAAGGACGTATCACCAAGTGATAGACCAAACCATCAGCACTAAGCTATAAGTTTTTATTTACTCTTACAGCTATTACTTTGATTATATTTCTGGGTTTTCACATGAGTGATAAAATCTGATGATTCAAGTTAATATGTTAATCATATTCATTTAATTCACTGACTACAAGGACACATTAACAGTATAATTTACAGGTTATTTTTATTTTGAAGGGAGTGATCAATGTATGTCAACCATTTCCATTAGGAGACTGAATAATAAATTTTAGTTTCATTTGCTATAAGTGCTTGTTATTGATCCAATTTTTTTCCTACTCAATTTCCTCTCAAACAGGTTAAAATATACACAAGGCATAATAGTGGTGTTCTACTGCTCCATTAATTCCTGGCATGAAGCTATTTTCTCCAAAATGATGTAGTCATGCTCACTGAATTACAAATTCTAAAACCTGTAACAATGCATATATGACACAATATTACAAAGTGCCATGACAGCAAATTGTGTATGCATTTTGAAAATTAATCAGATGTCAATTTTATACATTTCAATAGATAGGCAGCTATTATGTGCATCCCACAGAGGATTACAGGCTTATATTTAGGATTTTGATGGATAGGATTTAGTGAAATCTATTTCTTCTTAATGCTTTTTCTCCTAAATCATCCCAATTGTGGTTTCAGAAACACACAAAGAATAGTAGACATGAGATGTCACATATACAGAGGAAATTACCAAAGGTACCTTCCTGCAATTAGAATTGGCCTTTCCAGTCTCCTGCTGCAATTCATTAAATGGGTTCCAACTGGAAAATATCATGGGTGCTCATTTTGGTAGCACATTTACTTTTTTGCAATTATTTGAAATAACAATAGAAATGATAGCTAAAGTAAGACTAGATAGGGGGAAAAAGGAAATAAACAGGGGCACGAGAGACCAAAATTATCCCTATTTGCATATAATATAATGTTTGCATAAAAAAATTAGAAAATCAATGAAGGAAACTAATCAAGATGATTAATAGCTTCAGCAAAATAGCAGAACACAAACTATATCCACAAAATTTAGCAGCATTCTATGTATATATTATTAACAAAAAAGGGAAGAAAGTTAAATTCCATTTAAAGTAACTATAAAAAGGATAAAATATTTGGGAATTAAACTACCAAGACATACACAGGACTTATGCAATAAGATACTTATATGTTAGAGATAAGGGCTAGACATATGATTTTTTGAGGGTAGGGATACAGGGAATGGGTGAGAAAACTCCCTTTTCAACTTTTAGTTTTGAGAGACTTGCTAGGACAAAGGGTGGTTAAATGACTTGCCCAGGGTCACACTGCCAGTAAGTGTCCAGGCTAGGACTAAAACTCAGGTATCCTGGCTTTAAGGCTGGCTCTTTATCTACACTGTACCACACTTGTATACAACTACGAGAAAACCTTTACAGAAATAAAGGAAGGCCTAAGTAAATAACTGGAGAAAGCAATTTCAGTTGCATGATGAAGCCAAATTGCAAGTGTTTAGAAGAAGTGGAAATGAAGTATTAAGTATAATAAGTTTTTTTAGGCTTCATTAAGGGAGAAAGGACATTAAATGATAGGTAGCAGGGACATTAAGATCTAGCAAGACAAATGCATCAATTGTAAAAAGGACGTCACAGGCAGAGGCACTTTCACACTAATATTCTAATCAGAATATGGGGGGGGGGTGTTATTTGGTCTGTCCTTCTCAGTATTTGGTACTTTTTTCCATGCCAGAGAGCACAAATTCTTGTTGCTTGCTTCCCATTATGATCAAGAGTCACTTTCTTAAGCGACAAATCTCTCCACTACTTTTTTCCACACTGTTGTTCTTACCCATTTCACTCCTAACCTTTGCTAACTTTAAAATGATACAAATGTCTGATAACTTACCCTCCTGTCTGATAACTTACCCTCCTTTGATGTCTGGTACCCTAGCTCTATACTGTTAAACTCTTCCTTCATCCTTTTACAACAGTTCTAACGTGTGAAACTTAGAGAAACCCGACATTCTCTCAAAGACAATTAAAGCTTATCCTTGGCCATCTTCAATCAAAGCTGTGGCTCTTTCTCCTCCCCTCTTAGCTTCTTCCACAAACAGCAACACACAGGGTCAGGGAATACAGCATCCTCATTGGTTCCCACTGGTATAATCCTTTAGCAAGCTCTATTTAAACTTCATTCCACTTATTTGCATGACCCTGTCCAGATTCTTATCAATGACCCTAGAGATGATATATTACCTTGGTGTTGAAACGTAAGGACCACCAAGCTTCCACTGGATTTGCACTGGAAAACCTCCCATATGTCCTGTGCCCACTCCCTCTCTCATTGGAATGTGAACTGCTTGACAGCAAGGATTGTCTTTCTATTTTGTACTCCGAGTGATTAGCACAGTGCTTTGCACGTAGTAAGTGATTAATAATGTTTTTGTTTTTGTTTTTTTCATTCACCTCACTTCTTACTTTACTGGGAAAATTAGAGCCATGTTATGAGTTCTTCAGAGAAAAGATTGAGAGAGAGAGAGAGATCAATGTGGGGATTTGTTTATCTTGACTTCGCTTATTTGTAACAGGAGTTTTGTTTTTCTTGCTTTCCCAATGTGGGGTGGGAATGGGAGGGAAAGAACATGGTTATGAAAATAAAATAAAATTTTATGACCAAAAGAAAAAAAACCCTCACTTACCCTGGCATTTCTTCAATCTATATTGCTCTCCATTTCACCTCTATTTCAGTACTAGACTCTTACAAAGAATAGCCTATACTTTCATACACTATCTATTCTTTGTTCAACTCCTTGCAATCAAGCTTCTCCTTCCCACCCAGCCCCACATATCACACTACACTATTAAAACTTCTCTCAAAGGTTGTCAGTCTATCTCTTAATGGCTATATCCATTAAACTTTTCTTTCTTTTCTTTTTTTTTTGGGGGGGGGATGCAATAGGGTTAAGTGACTTGTTCAGGGTCACACAGCTAGTAAGTGTCAAGTATGAGGCCAAATTTGAACTCAGGTCCTCCTGACTCCAGGGCCAATGCTCTATCCACTGCACTACCTAGCAGCCCCCCAAGGACCTTTTCTCAGTCCTCATCCTCCTTGATTTTTCTGTAGATTGGAGCATTGCTGATAACCTCTTCCCCTATGGATACCTTAGCTTCAGTGACAACTCCCTTTTTAGTAACCTTTGCCCCTCAAACAAGGTTTCATCATAGATCATCTTCTCTTTTCTCTCCCCCATTCTATGGGTTCAATTATCACCTCTACAGAGAAGGGCCAAGGGTAGTTTAATAGAAAGCAGAACTAACACTAATAAAAATGTGAGTTCAAACTTTGTCTCTAAAACTTACTAAATAAGTTTTAAGTAGTATCATCACCTCTACCTACTCCTTTCAAGGATCAAATGAGATAACAGATATAAAGTACCTTGCAATCATAATGAAACATTATGTCAGGTATTATCATCATTACCGACATTAAAATTTCCAGATTATATATTCAGTGCCTAATCTCTCGTCAAACACTAGTTCCCCAAACTTTAACTGATGCTTAATGTTTGTGTTCTCTTCACCTCCTCTCATCACCTGCACCAGCACCTCAAAATCAAAACGTTTAAAATGGAAATAATCATCTTTCCCCTTAAACTCACCGTCTCTTTCCAACGTCCCCAATCTGTTCAGAGTACCACTATTGCCTGTGGCACCCAGGTTTAAAACTCCTGAGGCATCCTTGCCTCTCCTCTCCCTCACCTCTTCTCCTAACTGGTTGCCAAGTCACATCAATTCTGCTTTCACAGCAACCCTCTTCTACTCACTCTTACACAGGCACTAACCTACGACCTCAAGTCTAGACAACTTTTAACACCTTCCTGATTGGTCTCCTAGTTCTCACTCTCTCTCCCTTTCTCCAAAATACCTTCACACAACTGCCGAAATAATCTTTTCCTAAAGTACAGGTCTATCTTGCTCTCCTGCTCAAGAATGTTCCATATAGCTTCTGGAATAAAATACGAAACCTTTATTTAAACTTGGCATTTAAGGCTTGCCAAACTCACCTAACATTTATCTCCGGTCTACCTTTCTAGTCTTATTAAGTCATTATTTCCTTTCAAGCTCTCTAAATTCTAGCTAAAGTGGACTATCTGCTCTCCTCCCTGTCCCCACCCACTCCTCTGCCTATACATACAAAACAAACATCAACCATGAATATAAAGTACTCTATTCTGATCTCTGCCTTTCAGAAGCCTTATTTTCTTTCTTTCTTTCTTTTTTCTTTTGGAGGCAATCCTGCTAAAGTGACTTGCCCAGGCTCACACAGCTAAGTAAGAGTCTGAGGCTGGATGTGAACTCAAGTTCTCCTGACCCAAGAGCTGGAGCTCTACCCACTGCACCACGTGGCTACCCCTAGAAGCCTTATTTTCCAGCAAGCCTTTGCATAGGTGGCCTTTTTCACTGTAGCTTTCCCTGATCCTCAAAGCTGGAAGTGTTCTCTCCCTCAGATACTCCTACAACAATGGATCTGGATCTCCCCTTTGTTCCCCAGTTTATATTTTAGGGATTTACACAAGCTGTTCTTAATCCCTGAGATGCACTCCCTCTTCCCCACTTTTTACAATCCTTATGCACCTTGAAACCTCAGCTCAGAGAATCTTCCCTTAATGCCCCAGCTGAAATTATGCCCACATGCCTCAAATATTCCTGGAACACTTAGGCTACATCTCTCCTTTGTCTCGATCATATCCTTTTTTCTATTATATTTATAGATGTACATCTCACCTAGTAGAAACTCCTTAAGGACTACATGTTATTTTTATTTTCATATCCCCAGATCCTAAAGCAACATCTGCACATAGCAGACATTTAGTAAGGATGTGGTAAATTTCTTAGGGAAAAAGGAAAGAAAAGCACTTGTTAAAAATAAGCAAC